CTCACCTTCCATAAGCATTAACTCCAGATAGGCCAGGCTACGGGTCACTGGGATCGTCGGGGTATTCCAGGGCGTTGGCGGGAATTGCGATCGCTTACAGTAAAGTTACACTGCTTTCTTCGTTTTGTTTTTGGGACCCTTTTCCATGCACCACATACATACTGGTGTCTGTCTTTTCTGTAATGGCACGGTGTCTTACAGTGCAGGCACTGTACTTCGACTGAAAAACCGATTTTGCGATGATTATTAATTATTTTATCTTTATATTTCTTGTTATTATTATCATTATTATTATCATTATCATTATTATTATCATCATTATTATTGTTATTGCTATTATCGTGTTTATTGTCATTATTATCATTATCATTATCATTATTATTTGGTATTATCATTATCATCATTATCATTAATTATTATTTTCATCATTATTATTATCATTATCATTATCATCACTGTTGTCATTATTGTTGTTATTGTTAATAAACAATAACAACAATCATTATAATAATTTTCATTATTATTATCACTAGTTTAACTATTTTATGGGTATTATTATTATTGTTTTGGATATTGTTATTGTTATCAAAGCTATTGCTATCATTATTTATTATTACTATTATCCTCATCGTTATTTTAATAACTATCATTATCATCATTGTTATCATTATCATCATCACCATTATCATTATCATTATCATCATCACCATCATCATTATTATTAATATTATTGTGACTTATTATCTTCATTGTTATCACAAAGTAGTAGTATCATTATTATCACTACCACTACTACTACTACTATTATAATCATGATCACCCTCACTATCATCAAGGTTGTTGTTATTGTTATTATTTTTGTTGTTGCTGTTGTTGTTAGTAGTTGTTGTTGTCGTAGTATTGTTATCATTATTTTATTATTATTATTATTATTATTATTATTATTATTATTATTATTATTATTATTATTATTATTATTATTATTATTATTATTATTATTATTATCATTATCATTATCATTATCAACATCATTATCATCATCATTGTCATTATCATTATCATTATTATTAGTATTAGTATCATCATTTTTATTATTATCATTATTGTCATTATCGTTATTAATATCATTATTACTTTTATTAATGCTATTATTACTGTAGTTTTTTTTATTTTATTGTTATTATCATTATCATTATTATTATCATTGTTATCATTATCATTATTATTATTGTTATTATCATTACTATTATTATTATTACCATTATTATTGTTGTTGTTGTTGTTGTTGTTGTTGTTGTTGTTATCATTATTATCATTTTCATCTTTATTATTATCATTATTGTCACTGCTGTTATCATTATTATAATAATTGTTATTGTTATTGTAATTATTATCAGTATCAATATCATTATCATTTTCATTATCATTATGATTATAATCATATTGATATTACTGTTTTAATCACCATTATCATTTTGATATTATTGTCATTTTTATTATTATCATTATTATTATTATTATCATTTTTATCATTCCATTCTTGTTATTAGTGTCATTATCATTATCATCGTTGTTATTATTATCATTTTTGTTATCATTATTATTATCGATATTGTTGTTGTTGTTCTCATCATCATCAGTATCATTATTATTGTTATCATTATTATCAATATTTTTGTTATTATAATCATATTCATCATTATTATTAATAATAGTAATATTATTATTATTATCATTATCAGTATTATTATCATTATTGTTATTATTACTATTAGTTTCTATCATTATCATTATTGTTATTATCATTATCATCACTACCATCATCAATAATTGTTATCATTACCTATTTTGTTATTATCATCATTAGTTTTATTATTGTTGTTCTCCTTATTATCCTTATTATTATCATCATCATCATTATTATTATTATTATCATTATATTTTATTATTATTATCATTATTTATTTATTTATTATTATTATTATTATTATTATTATTATTATTATTATTATTTTTGTTGTTGTTGTTGTTGCTGTTTTTATTATCATTTGTTTTATTATTATTCTCATTATTTTATTTTCATTATATATATATTGTCATTATTGTTATAATTATCATTGTCGCTATTATTATTGTTATTATCTATTATTATCATTATAATCATTATTATTATCATTATCATTATCATCATCATTATTATTATTATTATTGTTATTATCATTATAATCATTATCATAATCATTTTCATTACTATATCATCATTATTATCGTCGTCATCATTATAACTTTGTCATGTCACTGTTATTTATCATCATTATTATTATAAGAATCACAATCATTACATTTTTCCCTGTCATTATTATTAATGTTATTTTTATTATGCTTATTACTGATATCATTATCAGTATCTTTAATATAATAATTGTTATTATCAATTTTATCATCATCATAATAGTTACTACTATCATTGTTATTCTTATTGTTTTTACTATTATAATAATTATCATTATCTTATTATTGTTATCATCATTGTTATCATTATTATTGTTATTATTATTACTGACATTATCATCACTATTGTTATCAGCATTTGAGATTCCTCGCCATGAATGCTCTTTCCCCCTTGTCTACTTTCCCCGACCTCCTCTTCGCAACCTCCTTTGCGCCTCACTACTAATCCCTCTCCCTCTCCCTGGCAGGAGTCCCAGAGTGCCACAAGGGCGTGGCACTGACTTGCGTCGTGTCCCCATTAGACAGGAAGAAGGACAGGTGCATCGCCGCCCGGAATATCTGCGACGGCTTCAACGACTGCCACAATGGAGAGCAGGTGTCGGACGAGTACGGTTGCCGTGAGTGTCACCTGTCATATCGGTTCTTGTCACATCGTTCGTGTCAGTCGGATGGCATCATCTCTTCTGTAACTTTATTATTATTGTTATCCTTATTATTGTTACCTCCGCCAGTGAGTTTTTCATAGCATTGGATAGTTTGTTCATTGGTCTGCAGGAAGTGATGAACAGATTTCCATTATTACCAGAGGTATGTCAGCCACTGAATGGAGGTGACCCGGATCATCATCTGGATCTAGGATCTTTTTTTAAGGATTCCTTCGCGAGATCGGGAAACATGGACGTCACGTGTGTTTAAGAAAGAGTTTCATGCAGCTTTTCAAGTGTGACTGCTTTCATGACATTAGAGACCCTACTGCCTTGGCGGAGATATGTGCTCGCTGAGTGCATCTAGTTCATAATTATCATAATGATTAATATCATTATTATCATTGCTATTATTATAGATGTTACTTTTATTATTATCATTATTGTTGTTGTTGTTATCATCATAATTTTTATTATTCTAATTATCATTTCCATTATCTCTATCATTACCATTATTGTTACTATTATTATCACTATTATCATTGTTATCATTGTTATTATTATTGTTATTATTATTATCATTATCATTATTACCATCATCTTCATCGTCATCATAATCACCATTATTATTTTTGTCATCATTATCATTATCGTTAAAGCTATTTTCGTCATCATTATTATTTCGTCATCATTATTATTTCTTCATCATTATGATCATTACTACAATTGTTATTATCATTAGCATTATTATCATTAAGGTTATATAATAAAGTTAATTATTATTATTATTATCATTATTATTATTATTATATTATTATTATCATATTATTATTATCATTATTATTGTTGTTGTTACTATTATTATTATTATTATCATTATTATTATATTTATTATAATTATTACTATCATTTTCATTAACATTATTATTATTATTATTATTATCATTATTATTATTATTATTATTATTATTATTATTATTATTATTATTATTATTATTATCATTATTACTCTCGTTATTATTATCTTTACCGTCATTATTTCTGTAATTATTGTTATCATATTTTTATTGATAACATTATTATTGTTATCATTATTATTAATATTATTGTTATTGTTATTATTACTATATTATTATTATTATTATTGTTATTATCAATATGATTATTATTATTATTATAATCATTTTTCTTATTGTTGTTATTATTATCATCATTACTGCTATTATCATTATTACCAATACTATGGTTAATATTACTATTATTATTATTATCATTATTATTATTACTATTGTTGTTGTTTCTTTTATTATCATTATTATTATTATTATTATTATTATTATTATTATTATTATTATTATTATTATTATTATTATTATTATTATTATTATTATTATTATCATTATCATTGTTATCATTGTTGTTGTTGTTATTATTATTATTATTATTATTATTATCATTATTATTATTATCATTATTATCATTGTCATTATTATCAGCATCACGATCATTAGTATTATTATTACTATCATTATTAGCATTATCATCGCAATTATTGTTGTCATTGTAATGATTGTTATTACTACTATTATGATTATTTGTTATCATTATCAATATGATTATTGTTATTATTATAATCATCATCCTTATTATTATTATGATTATTATTATTGTCGGTATTATAATTACTATTATTATTATTACTACTGCCATTGCTATTCATACTATAATTATCATTATTGTTATTATTATCATTATCATTGTTAGTAGTAGAAGTAGTAGTAGTATTGTTATTATTGTTATTATTATGATTATCATTATTTTTATTATTATCATTATTATCATTATTATTTTTCTTAATATTAACATTATTGTTGCTATCAGCATTATTATTGTTATTGTTATTGTTATTTTCAATATTATCATTATTATTATTTATATAATCATTATTATCATCATAAAATCAATATCATTAGTATTATCATTACTAATGTTATTATCATTATTATTGTTTTCATTATCATTATTGCTGTTTTGTTTTTTTTTGTGATTATTACCTGCGCCAAGAAGGTTATGCTTTTGGTAGTATTGGTTCGTTTGTTTGTTTATTGGTTAGAAGGATAACAC